CTTTAAGAATATTGCGGATGCAGCAAGACTACACACAGTTCTGAATACCGCCGATATCGAGATGCAATGGGTGGTTCGCAGAAGGTTGTTAAATCTATGATATGTCTATTAGAATATGACGTACTCATTGTTGTGAAGTAATATTCACTCAGCATGGTAACAAAATTGCACACGTTCCAAGCTTGTTACAATGAACAATGTTGTCCCCTTGTGTTGCTTTTATTCTACAGAAATAGTTGCATCACGACATGGTAGAGGGGGCGGTAAGTTTTGAAGATTATACAATTTATTGGTCCGATCATTGCAATGATGTCAAAGCTGGCGATAGCAGAATTGCAACTGAGATCTGACCGTGCTGTACAGTTCCCATCTGTAGACGTACACTGTTTAAGTACTAAATGAAATGAACTTAGCCGGGACTCATTTGTGAACTGAACGCATTTACCAGTGTTTTCATTTCCAGCCTTTCCAAGCATCTGAGATATGCCCATGTTTATGGCAGGCAATTTTGATCTCGATAGCGTATTATCTTTCTGATACAGCTGTCGTGTTTTCTTGACACCGTCGTGAAGAACAAGCCTGTGCTGTTTTGAGTCAAAAAACGCTATGATTATTATAAGCCTCGCCCAAAAGACTTATTTTAAGATAAGTTAGAGACAGGCTACCGTGAAACCACTTCTCTACCACTACCTGCATCTTCAGCCACCAGGAAATGACGCATTTTTGAATAACCAGGCCGTTACCATCACCTCATGAATCAGCTTGGTACACATAATCTGTTGTCCATTTCACGAGGTGCAAGTAACAGCTAAGTACATAACACCAGATTAATTACAAGATTTTACCATCTTCGCGAAAAGCCTTATAGTTTTTAGTGATACAGCCATACAGACATGCCATTTCCTTCTACTGCGAATCGAAATGACGTCCTGTGTCTCCATCTCGAAAGATTTTCCGAGTGTTACAACAAAGATGTTGTGTTGTTGGCAGTAACGCCGATATGATGGTGATATAACGTCAGCCGCTCCTCGACCACATATCCTTTACAACTAGAATATGTACTTGCTGCAGTTTGAAGGTCTGACTGAAGATGCTAAGTTCTCCATTAAGGTTTTTCTGTTTATAACGCAAAAACAGACGAAATAGGAACAGGCTGTTCAGGCTTTGTTCGTTACCTGCGTTCTGTTCGAAGTAACTCTGTGAGTTGAACCTTCAGCTGCACCGGATGGCGTTTGGGCCAGACTACTCTCTTGCAAATTGGAGGTAATTAACACTGCTAAATACCTTTGCAACTGTATGTGTCTTGGAGTTCTTCCTAACTGCTGGTGCACGGCAAGCATCATACTGTACCTAAAGCATCACCAGCGAAGCTGGAGAACTTTCGTCACATTGTAGTGATCTTTCGCCTGCTGAAATTTCTCTAGATATTGGTTAGGCTGGCTGTCGAAGACCGTCTGACCAGTTGGTGAGACAGTTGACAGTTTTTTTGTCCACTTTTAATACTCTAGCCTGTTGCTCAGATCTCATCGTATTCAGATTTCCCTGACGGAAATACTTCCCTGTCTTCCGCAGAGGGGAATTTATTGCTGAATTGCGTGATGCAAGAATAGATAAGTCATTGCCACAGTAGATATCGTGATAATTCAAGAACCATCTTCATTTTAACACTGTTTGGACATGCATCTTTTTGACAGTATAGCTCTGAATTGCGGTTTTGTCAGGATAAGTACTGTTACTACTTCTGCTGAATGTTTATATTACCGATCCGAAACCTACGAACTTAGTCGGCTGGCTGAAATGCGCAGATAATAATTCTACCCCCTACCAGTCATCGTGAATATTACTGATTTGCTTTAAAAGGTTCTATGAATCAAGTGAAGATTTGGATCATGAACCAAATGAGGTCTCATTATTAACCGCAAGAAGTGTTTAACTAACGATGTATTTGTTAAGAATATCAAATTAAATATGCTACTTGTTGTTGCTGAATGTCTATTGGCAAAGAGTCCAAGCTGATTCCACGCGTTGTCACCGTTCAATACCTACGAATTGTTGTGGAAAGCACCTTCAGGTGAAATAACCCAATGATACAGCATTCTTTAAAAGAGGGAAGGATCATTCTGTTGCTCGCATTGTTGAGTCTACAGGTTTCTCCTTCGAGTGATTTTGGCAGTTTGTTTTTAATTATCCACTATCGGATGCCTCATGCGCGTTTTCGTTCATCTTTTATTTCTGTACAACGCGAGGATTAAGCCAACTTTGGATTTCTGGTTCTACACATGTCGTATTGGCACAATTTCTCTGACCGGATTGCAGTTATTTAGTATAGGCATTTAAAGATTTTCCATATTATCCAGCTAAGCACTGAATCAAATACAACCTTAAAGTTGAGAAAACTGGCAAACCGAACCAATTGGAATCGTTTGTATTGTGTTTGCCATCGATTTTGCCAGGAAGATATTTGTTCCCATGGGAAGTGTTCACGTTAATTATTCTTCTCGATTGTTTTTTGAAGCACTACTGACCACCCTGTCTTATTCTAAGGACCAGCGGATTACATTATTTATGATCAGGTTTTGCTTGCCTCAAGTACGCACATTGTAGTGTGCCGGTGAATAAAAATAAAAATTTTTTACGGGTGGAGTGACTCTTTCAAAAGCTATTTGGTTTAAGCGATGTCTTCCCTATCTACTTCAATATTTTGAGGTAAAGCAGAAGTAAGTTTCCTTTGGATTAACAGCAAGGTCACTTGTAGGTTGCTCTACCATATTTAAAATAGAGATGGTGTGTCTGCACATCCTTTATTTTTATACCGTTTTCTTTTTCGTTCTTATTAGTTCGTACTTTCTTTGACTCAGAGATATTCAACCTATTGCGCAGGCTTTTCTGCCTTGAAATGTAAAATGTTCTGGATTGCTTCTCTCTGGAATTTGTCTACTTTACTTCTAGCGTTGATTAAAGATTTACATATTTTCATGTGTACATTCGGACATAGGCTCTTAGAAATGCTCAGACGATGTTTCGAGCCGTTTTGTTGTTAGTATTTCCCAAATTATGTTTCTTCGGCTTTGAACTTCTAAATGTAAGATACTCGCTTTATGCCCATAATAAAGGCACAGCGATTGATTAATGGAAATGCGCTTTCGCAGATTTCATGGTTATGGTGAAGAAATTGTTATTGCAATCTTTGAGTCTACCAATCTGTTACGATAAATATACTGCCATTGAAAATGTTTTTGAAGAAAGGTACACCATCATTTTTTTTGGTACCAGAATATTGACATGTCTGCCTTTGAGACACTTATTAAGAGCCAAGAGCTACTGTAACTATTTTCGTGTTTATTTCAAGCTCTGCGTGTTTACGTTGTTACTGTGTTTGTATCGTCGTACATGAAGTAAGTAGCATGCGGAGAAAATTAAAACGAAAAAGGCATGAATCAGTTAAATGTTGCTTTTAAATAAGTTAAGTAATGCTTTTTCTCTTTTATGATGGTTTGTCCGCTCGCTGTATAATTTACTCTTTCTATGTTCGTTTAGACAATTTACAATCGCAGCTCGAGAGAACTGACAATTCAGAAGGCTCGCAAGGGCATTCAGAGGATAGCCAGTCAATTGCATGTCAACCAGCAGTGCGTAGAGGAGGCCCTGGGCTTTTACAAGCTGGCTCTTATGCGGAAGCTGGTAACTGGCCGAAGATCGTCGTACGTTTATGGCGCTAGTTTGTACGTGACATGTCGGTTGGAAGGAACAGCACACATGCTGTTGGATTTTTGCGATGTGCTACAAGTGAACATCTACGAACTCGGCCGGGTGTACATGTTTCTGTCGCGGTCGCTGTATCTGAAGTTGCCACCAACAGACCCCTGCGTTTACGTGCTACGATTCGCCCAGAAACTAAACTTTGGAGAAAAAGAGCACGAAGT